TCTGCAAGGTAAATCTATATAAAACACGAAAAACAACCAGTGTTTATTTTTGAAACTGAAAAAATAGATAAGATGGTGCTATTTTCTAAAAGAAATAAAAACTGTTTTAAAACTGGATCGGATAGAAAATCAATAAGGACAGGCCTCAGGGGGGTCTATTAATAAAGGTGCCCACACAAAATACAGGTTGGGCTCTGCTTTGAGTTTGGCGCTGTGAGAGTTATAGTCGGTGCTTTAGCTGGGCTCACAAGGTGCGCTCCCAGTCATCAGAGATCGCAGTTTCCCCTCCTGGGTTACAGTAGTATTGAGCAGCATCTTCAGTAGCATATAGATAATGTGGTAGGTTTTCAACAGAATTAGCCCATGAACGTTTTTTTTTTTAAATAAAAAAACAACGTAAGATTGTCAAGCTCATACAGATCATCATACGGGAAAGAAGGTGGAGGTGATTCTAAATCGCAAGCGGTGTTGAAGCTATCAGGCGTTCTTTAGTAATAAACGAGGCAATTAATTTCAGCAGAAAAGAGGGGCTCACAATCAGTGTACAAACTCCTCCTTTTTCATCCGTCGTTTCTGCACAGTTACTCCTTGCATATTCAAAGATGGGTCGTTTTAAGCACCGGAGGAGAGTGAGAGGGGCGCACTGAATCCCATTCAGGGTTTGCTTTTAATTATTTAAAAAGGCCAATAATGCGCTGAGGCAGTTCGAGTCGTTAAAATGATGTCTAGACGCTTGTGCGTCAACAGAGCAAGAAGACAGCATGAAACTTTGTTCAACTATTTCGTTTTTGATTTCAGCAACATACAGTTGTCTTATGAGTAACGTTTTGAGTTACTCTTATGGGGCTAACTGCGCACAACCCTTGAGCTGCTCTTCTTATTAAAAGGCATACATTTTGAAAACAATGCTAAGCTGAATACCTAATGCATAACCTTTAAATGCAACATTTGATGGGGAATGGGAGCGTCTCGACTTCATCTCTCAATTTATGCTGTATCGACTGCAAAATTGTAATGAAAAATGAGACATGATCGCATTTCGCAAACGTTTAGCGGTGTTCTTTTAAAGAAACATTAAGAGATTCAATTGGGCTAAATTGCCTGAAAAACGAGCTAATTGGGTAAACAATGGGCGGTTTTGCAAAAGATATTTTAGTGCAACTGATCACAAAGCACACACGTTCCTGTTGGCTGGAAGACTGGGTGGTTTTAGTACATCTTGTTTGAAAGCGCAGTTACAAATTCCTTCCATCATTGGTACTCCAGCTGTCTTCTTCAGAATGTGTCGAGAAACATTTAATATCGCAATGCTTCTCCATTGTTGGGTGTTAAAGCTCCGAGTTGTGGACATTGTTTTAAATAACTGAAAGTCGCCTAAGCTAAGGCTTAGCAAGGTAAGTGAAAACGCTGTCCGTAGCATAGCAAAAAAAAGCATTATTACCAGTTTACGACTATGAAACGGTTTTTGACATAAGCCTGCATAATACGTGCCATGTTATGAAACTGTAAAGCCTTTATAGCCTGTGTCCTGCTTACTAGGATGAAGTTTAGTTACGACGTTCACATTCTGTATCTTGCTTTTCTATTCGTTTGGTATCTGTTGCTCTTACACTGTAAACATTCTCTTCACGGACCCCTGCTGACTTGAGGGATGCAAATATCCAGTCGTTGTTTCGCAAGCGTTCTTAAAATGTAGCAGAGAAAACTGCCGTCATCGCATTAAATTCACCGATACTTGTGTCTAAATCGAGCCGGATCTCTGATACCTACAAAAGACGTACTGCAGGTTAGCCGTGTCTTTCCGTCAGAGTTTATCCGTCAAAAAGAATAAATACGGGGGAAATGTAAGGCGTCCGGATTTACAAGTTCTAAAGAGAACCTTAAATCCACACTGTCTACAGACGGTTCACCATTAATTGTTGACAACAATTAAGCCATCAAGTCACACAATTAAGTCATCAACGAGGTAAGAGTTACAAAGGAAAGAAGGCTATTTGATTAATGTTTTTGTTTTGTTGGTGGTAGATAATTGCTCCCAGAATCTTATCCAGTGGTATACCAGTGTCGGAGGGGGTTTTCCAGTGCACAGTAATGCAAAGTGATTTCCTTCTTCTATCTAGAACATTTGCTAACATCCTGTCCTGTATTACCTGTGAGTATCTAGATTCATAAATAGAGGGTTGTGGTGTTCAAATCCCAGGCGTGATACTTCTGTTGTACCCTCGAACAAAGTACTGGAATTGCTCCGGTGAACTACTCTGCTGCTTAAATGAGTGCAAACATAAGTCGTTTTGAATCAACGTGTCAGCCAAATAAATTGGCAATTAAACGGGTATCTGTAACAAGTCTGCAGACTGTCCTGGAGTGAGATGAAGGGCACTGACTCCTTTGAAGAGCCCAAGTCCTAGGTGGAGCTTTCAGTCAGTGAGTACCGCTTACCTGTGCACAGGTGCCCCAGCTCGGTCATTCAGACTCAGAACTGCGCTGTGATGTCCAGGACCAGGGTGTCTAGTTCAGGAGTGACCAGTCCTGGACCTGGAGGACTCCAGAGCAACAGGTTAGAAGTTATCCAGAAATGATCCTTTCCCTCAGTTTATTGGTGGGGGGGTAACTTTGAGATCTGTTGGGATTAAAACCAATTAACCTCTCCAGAAACATTTGTCCTCCAGAACAAATGCTGCTACAAACGGAAGTCTGAGGATACAGCTCATTTTGCTTCTTGAGTTACTGGGAAGCGGGAGGCTTGGAGATCTCTTCCAGGGTTTTCTTAAAAGATCCCGGGGAATCTTTTGAAAATGTGTCCCGTTGGACTGCAGACACCCACGCTCCTTTCGTTACAGAGATGCTGCCCGACTTTGACCCAGATGCAGAATGTTTTCCATTTTCTCTTGTAACTCTGGCACCTGCGGTTGTGTGCTGTTTCCATGTTGCTCACCATTTTAAACTCACGCAAAGCCTCCGTTGTTCAACCCTGAAGAGATTTAGCTCCTTGTCTTATGAGACCGTGCTCAGCGTCAGAATTAACCTTGTGACTCTTCTTTGAACGGAATCCAGAGCAGCAGTGTGTTTTTTTGGGAACTTGGTGACCACATTTGTGCATCTTATTCGACGCAAGTAAGTCATAGACGTTATATACAAGTGTATTGTATATCATATATCTTATCACTTTTAATAACTGCTTCTCCAATTTAGGGTTGTGGGGGAGATGGAGCCTATTCTGCAAGCAGCGGGCACAAGGCAGGATACACCCTGGACAGGACACCAGTCCATCTCACGGCACGCACACTCACACCAGGGACAATTTTCCCAGAAGCCAGTTACCCTGCCAGTATGTCTTTGGACTGTGGGAAGACACTGGAGCACCCAGAGGAAACCCATGCTATCACAGGGGGGAACATGCAAACTCCACACAGACAGTACCCCAGGAAATGAACCCAGGGCTGCAAGGCAGTGGTGCTCATGACTGTGCCACCATGCCACCCTTATATCTGATCTTAATTTTCCATTCAGAAATCTACAATCCCCCCAAACCATTTGTTAGTGATGCTGCTTTTGCTGCATTTGATGTTGTATCAGGTAGGTTTCTCACTTTTCTGCTATGCTTTTCTCAGTATCGTAGTGAATTGTGGAGATGGCAAAGTTCCTGGACTTGGAAGTGTGAAGTGTTCTACTAAATTTAGACTACACTATCCTGAACTATTTGAAATGTGTCTTGCAGACTGGACTGTGGCGTTACTTTAGTACTGGTGTTATTTGTGGTGTCTCCTTAAACTTTCTCCTCAGCCCAGCAGGAGGAGAATTTTCTCACTGCGTCACCTATTCTGCTAGTGCTGATCTCTCAGGTGAGTCTGCTCTCCAGTGGTGGACAAAATGGGTCCCCTCCTATACATTGAGAGAGAAGAGTTTATTTGCGAGATGCACATGTAAATTCTCACAGTTCTCCTGTGACATGCACAGTCACCCCACAGTTGACAAAACCCCACAATCTGCACAGTCCATTACAAAAAAATAATAATGACAGCCACAACTGACTAACATACACAACAACATACTCAACGGTTTTTGCTATCTGATGTATTAATGAGATTTATGCAACTGATGCAATGTTGAGTAGTAAAATCGGTTTGTTGCAGTATCATGGACATGGGGAATGACCTCCAAGATATCAGACTCCAGCCGTGTAGTGGTTGATCAATTTCAGGTGTTGCTGTTGTGCTGATGCAGCTGAAAAGCAGTCTTAATTAAACCAATTTAACTTGTCTTTGCGTAGGGATACAGTGTTTTTACAGTATTTGCAATAGCCTGCACCTTCAAAGATTAAAATAGGCACAAACTGTTGCAACGGCGAGCCGTTTTCTGTTTGGGAGCATTTGCTATTTTTTTTGTGGGGGAAAAACACAACTATAATTAAACGATACGATGTGCTACGCGAATGTATCATCTTTACAGCGTAATACGCACATTGGTAGACTTTTCACAAATATGACTATAAAGACGTTGCGTGTATCATCCGACAAGGTTATTGAAAAGTGAGTTTATTTTTTTCGGTTTGCTAGAGACCATTTGGATTAGCATGGGAAAATAAATTTTTTTGGACATATAATAATAATTGCTTACACTTATATAGCGCTTTTCTGGACACTCCACTCAAAGCGCTTTACAGGTAATGGGGACTCCCCTCCACCACCATCAATGTGCAGAAAATTAACAGAGTGATCTGAGCATTTACTGGAAATGCTCAGATCACATACTTTGGCCGCTTGATCAGAGTCTGTACAACGCATTCCTAGAAACAATTCAATGAGTACACCCCCTTTCGAAGCGTTTCACACACGCTACACGTCCGTAACACCCGTCTAAGCAACCCTTTTCAATTCGAGACATTCGGGTATTTCCGCCCCTAGAGGCATCTTCGTCAGTTTCCGTGTGACGCACGGCAGAGCCGTGCGTAGGGCGTGATTGCGCGGCCCCTCCCCCTCGCGGTCTATCTGGAAAAAAAACTTTTTGTATCGAAGGAATCAACAGCCGCCATCTTGTCGCGGCTCGGAGTCAGGATTTCGGGAGAGCATTATTTTTTATTGAGAACCGGAACATCCGAACCGAGGCCAAACGGGTTTCTTCTGCCGAAAACGAAAAGCTTAGACGCCTTCGAAGACATTTCGTGAGAAAAAACGGAGATTGGGTCGGTTTTCATCGGCCAGAAAACCCCCCATATATCTGATTTCCCCTTCAGAAAGCGCCGCTTCGCTCCGTATCTTGGTTCGCAGCCGTATTGTTTACCGGGAGCAGCCGGCGGACAGACAGCGGGGAAGGGGCGAAATAGCGCCGTGAAATATTTTTTTTTTGCACCGGCGCATTTTTTTCGCCGGCAGAAGGGGGTTTTTAGGCAATTAAATTGACGTCAGAAAAAAGGGGGTATTTAAAGATGCGAATTTAGCGCACTCCGCAGGCACGAAAACGACCAAAAAATCCATCGGGGAGATCGTATTTAATTTTTTGTGCCCTTTGTTCCTTCGAAAAAAATATTTTTCATCGGAGGTAATTATTATTGATAATAATGTGGGTGTTGGGTGTTGGATTATCATGGGGTGAATGGTTTTGGCGAAGCGGGGCGCTGTAGCTACTTTTTTGAGAATTTCGCCTTGATTATTTCGCTCCTGCAAACGGAGAGTAGAGAGGAGGCGAGCGTGGAGGGGTTGCTCTCTTTTTGGTTTTGATTTTTTTCTCGGGGGGTGGGGATTATTATTATTATTTTTTGGGGGGCCACCGATCCCTCCCCCCCCCCTATTTAGAAAAAAAAAATAACCCAATCACATCTAACGATCCGAGTCGATCGCCATGGCCGAGAACCTGCTTGACGTCGGACCTCCCAACCCGAAGCGGCCGAAGCTGAATTCACCTGCCCTGTCCGCCTCCGACGGTCCAGGTAAGGCCCGACTGCCCCCCGGCTCCCCGGCGTGACAGTGTCACCGCCGGCGTGTGCGACACGGCTCCGTGCGCACCTTTGCATCGCAATACTTTCCTTCTGGAGTGTGTGCGTGTGCGTATCGCCTTTGGGTGGTGGTGCTGGTGTCTCTTCTGAACTGGGGCTCGATCGGGAGCACCCCGGCTGTGCCTCTTGCTGGGCGCTGCGCGCAATCGGCTCCCCGCTCTTGTGGTGCCAAGGCTGGGCGGCAGAGGCGTGGAAACGGGGAAGGTGTGCGTTTTGCCCGTGTGCTGGGTCTCCGCCGTGTGCATGGCCCGGCTGCAGGGGACAGTGTTTGGTGGGTGGTGGCGGTGTGCCTTTCGGCGTTATGAGATTTTTTTCCCCTATGCCAAAAAATGAGCATGCCCCCCCCCACCACCACCACCACCACCACCTACACCGTCTCCTCTACCGACCCTCTGATGCCCCGCTTCGTGTCGGTTGGTGGTCGGCTGCAAAACAGACTCTTTGACGTCGCGATTTGAGGTGCCGATGTCAGATGCGTTTTTTTGTTGTGTTTGTTTGTTGTGCGGTTGAATGTGGTGGTCGTACCAGGTTTTGATCGAGAAAAGTCCCCGTGGTGGTGGCGTTTGTTGTCGACTCTGCACGGCAGCGAGATGTGGTGCCGTGCGTCAAAATTCATACTCCCCCCCACCCCCCTACAAAAATATTGTAGTAACCGCGGGGACTCGCTGGACAGCTCCCTGTCCTTTCATGTTGGGCAAGATCGTGGCCTTTCGTGAGAGACCTGGGTGCAGCCGTGCCGTTGACAGCGGACCACCTGGGCAGCGCCAGCAGCCTGCGCTTCACAAGCCGGGGATGGACATGCAAGAGCATGACAAGAGCGACGTCTTGTATTGCTCTTCCCCCTCTCGGTATCCGAAACGATCCACCCCCCTCCCCCGGTGCCGAAGCGGCGGCCGGGCCCCCTGGCGCTGGGTCCCGGGTCCTGGCCGGAGCCGGAGTTTGTTGCCCGGGAGGCGGTGTTTCATTGCAAGGCGAAGCGGCTATGACACCGGCAGGGAGAAGCGTGCATCGGGTGTAGCGCTGGAGGGGAGGGCTTGCGCCTGTCAGTCAGCGGCTGAGCCACTGATCGATCTGATTGACACGGCTGGTTTGAGAAACGGTGGTGGTGGACGGGACTCTGGGCTGGGTCGCACCCGGTTGGTTGGTCGGTCGGTCGTCGGAGTCTGTCCCGCGTGTGGTTTGTGGATCCCCTCCACCCTGCCCGTCCCTCCACCCCTCCTCCCGATCTGATCGCCAAAACACTGTTTAATTCGGGGATCCCCTCAGTTCTGCTTTCTGAAAACGAAACGGTTTGGTCTGTGTCCTGTAAGCCGAGGGGGGCGTGACGCCGTGCGCTCTTGGCCGGAGACAGGAGCTCCGCTGGCGCTCCTGGCGTGCCCCTGCAGGCTGTGTGGAGGGAGATCTCTCGGCCTGGGAGGGTGGAAACTCTCGTATGTTAGCTTTCCACAAGTGTGCGGACCCTCGCTGTGCTGTCGGACAACCGGTGCGCCATCCCTACCGGTCACGGCGGGCAGCAGTGCCGGGGAAAGTCACGCCGGTACGGTGCTGGCATCTCGGTTGCGTGTAAGCTGACGTGGGCGTGGAGGCAGGAGAGCGCTGTAATTTGAAAGCTGCTGTGATTGGTCGGATCGGAATCATTAAAAGTGAACTTTAACAGCTTGTGCTTGGACTATAGCCGTCCATTGTCTACCTAATTAAGGGGGCATTTGTCGGATTTAAAGCCCAGCGCCTGCTGTCAGTCTGGGTTTAGGAGAGCGACACTTGCACGTTTTTCCACGGCTTAAGGTCTGATTCAGTTATATTCATTGAGCGGTCATGCCAGAAGAGTGAACTAAGTTCCCATTTGCGTTAATTGTGTTTTCTATCCAGCAAAGAGAGGCTTTTCTGGGTTTTAAACATTACCTTGTGCCAGCAAGTGCGTTGTTAAAACGTGTATTGGTCTATTTAAAATACACTTTCACTGTATCTGGACCCTTTTCAACTTTAGAATAACAGAAATATCCCTACCCTCCGTTTTACTGTTCCACCAAGGTGTGGTGAAGTAAAACCTGCAACAGAAATAGGCTCCATTCACAGTGATGCCCATGACGATTTTATGTTAAATGATATTAACTTCAGAGAAGGAGAGAATTCATATTTTGTCAGTGGCTGAAACAAAAGATGAGAGATTGACAGGGTCCTGACAAAATAAGTAAGCCTTCTTTGTTTTTATCTGGTGTCAGTTTTCTTGAGACTGAACTATCACATTTGAAGAAAATCTCTCGATAGTTTAAATTGCGTTGGATGTGGATTTATTATGAAAAGGGCATGACATTTGCTTCTGAAGACAATTAAGTGCACTAGTTACTAGTGTTGTTTACTATTCTTCTCTGTAATTCTATAGGTGGCGATTGTATCCATGTATTTGAGAAATGACATGACTTGTTCTGTTTCTTCACTTGGCTGTGCTGGAGGGATTAAGTAGCATTTGTTTAACTGCAGCCAGTTCTTGCTTTACAGTGTAATCTGATCACATTGGTGTAAAACAATGTACAATACTGTACCTGGTGGCACGGACACGTCTTCACACTTAAGGTGACCTGCCGAGACCATGCTGTTTTTGTCTTGGTAAAAATCAGCTCTTTCATGTCTTTGAGTGCGTACACTTTGACTTTAGGCCAGGTCCTGTGAGCTGGTAAGGTGTGCATCTAACCACATTTTGGCTGTGGTTTATGGGGGACAGACGTTATGCTCTTCTAACATCACAGCTTCTGCAGGGGCAGTTTGACATGGTATTAGAATAGTGATAGTTTCCTCAGTGTGACCTTGGTTTTGGAAGCCAAATATTAAATCTGGAGCTGTGAATAGGGGGTGGGGCGATCAGTCTGGATTACACTGGCCGCCTTTGAAAGCGCGCAGGTTTAGTCGTCTGAGTTCGGCTACCTTGGCTAATGACAGTCTCTCTTGCCTTTGGGTCCTCTCCTGGCCCTAAGTGGATTTTGAAGTTTGTGATCTCATTGATGATGATCCATTTATTTAAAAAATTAAACTTAACTCAGTCCGGGCCCTAGTCTTAAGCATTATATACTCCAGTTATTACACAACAAATACATTATTTTGAGCACAGTACATAAAGGTTTAAGGTGTACTGTTCTTTGGGGAAAAGACTGAATTATTGTTAAAACAGGTTCAGCTTTAAAGGCTTTGGGTATTATCTGCTTACTGTTGGTCCTGTGGGGAGGAATTCTGAAACCTCGTTTTCCTCCTTAGCCTGACGTGTACTCGGCATTGCTGTTTTAAGCTCGCCGTCAATGGTTATCTGGGAGACGCGAGGTGCAGTTTTGCTTATTGCTTGTGTTTTGAGTTAAGCGTGTAATTAGTATGCAAGCAGGCCCATGTATCGCACAGAAATTCACACATTAATACTAAGAGGCTGTAAATATTGGTACTATGTAGAATATACCCTGGGGTGCTTGCTTTGTGTTTGATTGCTCGCTGTCAGCAAAGGAATAATCACACATACATTTAAACCGTATAATCTTTGATAATTCACAGCCTGGAAATAGGGAAGCATTGGAGACTTGAAAGAAAAAAACGTCAGATAAGATAAGGTCACTTTATTGGACATATGCAATTTCTTGTATTAGGAATTTGTTTTATCACAGTCAGTTCATCAGTGTTATGAACAAGCATTTTCGCTTTGTAATCTGCACGTTTGTTGAATAGAAAGCATTCTTGCACACAAAAAATTAGCTAATTTAGTATTTATGTATAGTAGGTTTAAAGCTTATCAGAGGGCACAGGTCTTTAAATTATGCAGTGATTCATTTGTAATTTTATGTGTATTTATGTGTACAGTAATTCTTTTTTTAACAGCACAGGGCAGCATATCTAGAGCTGTGTTAGATCACTGTTACGCCAGAAGTTCCACTTCAGCAAATTGTGGGGGCAATATGTTTCTCCTAATGTGTTTTAATTAAAAGACTATTTTTGGCAAGAACAGATATGCTTTCTGTAAATGTGACATCTTAATCTTATAAAGTGGAGAAGCAATAAAGGCTAACAATTTTAGGATGTATAGTTAAAAGCATAGTATTTAGATCAGGGTTATGTTAAAAAGGTAAAATGCGTTGGTAAGACCTCAAAATATTCTGTTTTGATCATCACATTACAAAGATTTTGCTTTAGTAGTATCTGTCCGGAGAAGAGAGACGAGAAAAATTCCTGGGTTCAAAGGAATGTCACTCTCTGACATATCGAGACTGTCTTAAAAGTCCTAAATCTTTCTAAACTTGATCAGATCACTATTAGGGGACTCAGTTATCGACAAAGTGGACGTTGTCTTCTTGTTCCCAATCAACAGTGAAGCACGTTGTAGGAGACTGCTGGGAATGAATGAAGAACTGGAGGAGGGAATCATTGACAGAACGGGTGTGTGGGAGTCTGGAGCACACTTACCCAGCCTTGTTGTTAACACTGATACTGATCTGGTCACTTTCAACAAGTGGATGGTCAAGAGCCTCAGATCAGTTATCAACTATAAACCAGGCTGAGCTAGCTAGCGTAAATGGCCTTCTTTGTTTTGAAAACTTTATTACTTTATTTGAAAGGTTTTGCCTTGTTCCTGAAGATTTCCTCCGTGAAATCTGCAGTTCATCTTCTAAATAGCAGGTTTATCATTCACTTGTTTTTCCTAATTGGCAATATCGAATTGCTTTTTTCAGTTTAATTTCCTTGGCGTTTTGGCACTGCTGTTGGAATATGGAAGAGCAACACATCCAAGGCATGCAGGCAGGGTGAAGGGCGTTTGTGTTCCTGTAAATCTGGAACAACTGTGCTAACTGTCCTCGACTGTCCTCGAGGGAAGTTTAAAGATTTTCTGTCGTCCTAAATGCAGTTACCCTGTTGTTTTTGAAAAGCCCCAGTTTACATCCTTGACACCTTCTTGAGCTCCA